CTCCCTGAGGGCAGGCTCTTTATCTTTTCATCTCTGCATTCCCACAGCACCTGAAGTATAGTTTTGTACAACACAGCCATTTGAGAAGTTTTGCTGAATTGCTCTACCATGGAAATAACAGCTGAAGTGTAACCGCACAGCGATGGAGGGATCGTTAAAGGAAACAGTAAGCACTCCTTCGCGGCCAAAAAGGTGACCAAGAGTTAGAGGTTGGGCATGGTGGCTCCCACGTGTGGGAGGTTGAAGATTGTTTGAGGCCAGGAGTTTGAGACCAACCTGGACAACTCAATAAGATCTCATTTCTATCAAAACAAAATTAAAAAGAAAACAAGTGATCCTCCCCCTACCCCCCAGCCCCACTTGCCTGCAGGATGGTGGAGGCACAGCATTTACAACCCTTTCTTGGCAAAAGTGACAGCAAATTATCTGATCACTCTTTGGTAAAGTAAAAATGTAACTTTTTGTTTTGGCTGGGGGAAATACAGCTTCCAGGGAAAACTCAAAGTGCATACTCTCTCCAGTATTGAAAATAACAGACGGAGGCCTGACCTCAGGAAGTAGGATGAGACTGCGGAACCTCCCCGGTTCTACTGTAAAAGGGGATCTTAACGTAAACTTTCCCAGGGTGGTTGTGAAAAATAAACAAGTGAGCAGAAAGAACTGACTGAGCCTGGAGCAGGTGACCACAAACATTAATTCAACACTCCACTTCGAGGGGCATTGTGCTTAGCCCCCTCATTACACAAGGAAGAAATGGGACAGAGAGAGGGTAGGTGACAGGCCCATGGTCATGTATGCCCAGGTTGTTTAAGGTAAAGACAGTGGGGACTTTCCAGACAAGACCTCATTTTAAACACACAGACATACATCCCCGAGGGGGTTTTTAACAGGGCTGCCCTAGGCCTTTCATGTCTGCATTGCATTATTTCACTACACTGGGTCCTAAACTCACATAACAATAAACATGCAGCTTTATTTGTTAGAGACAGTTGTACATGTGGTTCCTAAAGTCACAAAAAGGAACAGATGCTAGAAAGAGATAGGATGAATGGTATTCAAGCAAGAAAGAGCACACTCTGTGGCTAAGGTAAAGATTAGTGAAATTTACAGTGAACTGGGTGGAAAGAATCTCTACAAGGCAGGTGGTATCCAAGGTCAGAAGGAAAAGATGAATGCCAAGGTGATGCTGGGGGAGGACACCAGCAAAACAGATAATAAGGCTACAAGGACCCTTAGGGATATAGTATGGTCTGGCTTCCAGAAATCAAGAAAGATGTTTGTAGGAGATGATGGCAATGCCGGTGGTGTACATAAGAATGGAGGAAGAGCCAGGCTCAGTGGCTCAGCCTGTAACCCCGCGCCTTGGGAGGCTGAGGTGAGTGGACTGCCTGAGCCCGCGGGTTCAAGACCCGCCCGGGCAACTTGGCGAGACCTCATCTCTACAATAAATAAAAAAGAAATTAGCCAGGTGTGGTAGCATGCGCCTGTAGTTCCGGCTACTTGGAAGGCAGAGGCGGAAGGATCGCCAGAGCCCAGCAGGTCGAGACTGTGGTGGACGGGAGTGTGCCACTGCACTCCAGTCTGGGCGACAGAGTGAGACTCCAACTCAAAAAAAAGGAATGGAGGAAGAAGGAGGCAAGGAATAATGGGAGCAAGTCAGTTAGAGGAGACGTAAGAGATTTCCCACAACCACAAAGTATCGACCTGAAGTAAAGTCCTTAGGCTTAAAAGAAGGGATGTGACAAGGTCTGCTCTACAGGACCGTGAACTATTTAAAACTGCCAGGAGAAGCAGGACAATGACCATGGAAGTCAGAATCTGCTGAGTGTGCAGCAACTCACCTGCCGAACAAAATGAGAAACAGAAAGCTTCCAGAAGTGAGCCGCGTTCACATCCACAGGACACACTGCAGCTGGACCCAGACAATGCTCTGAATTTTAGAAAACCTCTGTCCTTGGCGTCTACTAGTTCCTTCATGTTCACTACAATTCAAACCAGCCACACCTGCTTGCTCCCCAAAACTTCCCTGAGACAGTCTCACCCACTGTTCTGTCCTCATGCTTCTCCTCTAAATCCGAATGGCAAGATCCTCTTCATCCATCAAGACCCATCCCAAGCCACTTACTGCCCAGATTTAGAACTAACCTCTCCCTCCTCCAAGGCTCCCACAGCACTCATATCAACCACATCCTGCCTGCTGTGGATGCCAAACAGACTAGCACACCTGCTGAAGGAGGGCTCCTCTGACATTAGGGCACAGCGGGAATCATTCAGACTTTCTGTACACAGCAGTCACATGGGAGGGAAAGTGAAGAGATACCAGGGAAGATTCATTTTGAAGAAAAGTATCTCAAAAGGTTTTTAAATACACAAAATCCAGGGCTAGAGGGTAGGAACACTGCTTCAGCTTTGCTCCTTCCCAGTGCCTTGTACACTTGAGACATGCTCAGTAAGAATCTCTAGGGTGAGTGAGAGCTGGTGTGAACAGCTCTCAGGTTCAGTTGCATTCACTAGCTCTTGACCTTGGGAGCAAGTGACTTAATCTATGTGCCTCAGTTGTCTCACTGGCAAATGGGGAATATAAGAGCTACTATCTTATAGTGTCATTGTGAGGATCACAGGAAAAAATATACATATATACACACACACATACATACATACACACACACCTATACATATATATAAATAGCATTTGGTGTGTGGCACATAGAAAGCACAACAGAAATGATTTTTAGTCTCTTTTTTACGTCAGCTACAGTATGCTATTCTGCTGGAAGCTTTCATTCACACAGGAATCTTTTCTACAGTATCCCTAATACCATCATCCCACCTCTACTAGAATGCCTCCAGCAATGGGAAGCTCCCAGCCTGCCAAGGCAGCCTATGCTAGAAAGTTATTATAAAGGTCTTCGATAGGAAGTTGGAATTTGCTGCAACTTCCATCCTGATCTTGGTTCTGCCCCATCACATGAACCTAGGAGAGTCTAATCCCTTCTCTCATCTGACAAGTATTACATTTCTCTTAGCTGTTCCCTCTCAACCCTAAATACTCCCATGTCCGTCAGCCATCCTGCATAATGCTTGGCTCTGAAAGTTACCTCCCTCGTCTGTACATCTAAGAATATAGCAGCCACAGGTGAACACAAGACATCTTGATGGGGCTGACCTCTAGGGTGGATGGCATCCATCTCTTTGAAAGCCCAGGGTTTAATTGGCATTTTATGCAACCACATTTCTCTCCCTACAGGTGCATTTGAAAAATGAGCACAAGCTGAAACCACCAAGCCTTCTTCACATAATCGCTCTAGAGCCAGGTCTTCCTCACTGTTCTGTGCTGCAGGTTCTAAGTCCCCTGAGGGTGGAGTTTTGAGTGTGGACTTTAAAGGACAGGACAGGAGAAGTAGGTAGTTCCATGGAGGGAAGGATGGAAGAAATGCTCAGTCACAGAGTTGTCTGGTTTATGGATAATTTCATTTTTATTCCCATGGGTGGCAATGATGAGGAGTGGTGAACTGCAGGGTCTATGGTGCTGGGATGAACTGCATTCCTGGTTTTGTCTAGGATGCTTGCTATGATGCTCATGGAACCTTTTCTGAGGATAACTTACTGATGGCAATCCTAATCTCCTTCAGAATGAAAATGAATATTCTCATTAATTATAAAGTGGTACAAAATGAAATGACACGTGGGCCTATGTGATGCTGTAATATTCTGTATTTAGCTCATTAAGGAAATGACCAGAGGAGTAATAACACCTCACATTTGTACATTTAAATCACACATTTCAGATTGTCAAGTGCTTCTCCCTCATGCAAACATTACGTATAAACACAAACACATATGTACAGGTTTTAATCTTCATAAATACTCTCCAAAGGACCATCATTCCTCCTGCTTTTTTTCACAAAGAAACTCAGAACCAGAGGGTTTAAACGACAGTGTTATCATATTTATGCTAGAGGTAAGAGTCAAATTAAGGTGCTTTTGACTCGTGTTCCAACATTCTTTACACAGAAACGTATTTGGCTGACTTTACTATCTTCTATTTCTAGTTAAGTATTTTGATGACAGTCAAGAATTTTCAGATTCCAAGAAACCATGGTATGTAAAGGGGAATAATCTATCTTTGACTGTACTAAATGTTAATTACCCATTTTGAAAACAGAACCCTTACCCACCAATACCCTCCTCCTACATGCTTCTCCCCCAAAAAGTTCTGTGAAGCTCTTCTCAGGAACTCTTTTTAAGAAAGGGCTTCACTCTGTCACCTAGGCTAGAGGACTGACCAGAGTGGCACCACTCCAGGTCACTGCAGTCTTGACCTCCTGGGCTCAAGTGATTTTCCCACCTCAGTCAGTCTCCCCCATAGGTGGGACTACAGGTACATGCCATTACACCTGGCTAATTTTTTTTTTAACTTTTTCGTGGAGACAAGATCTCACTATGTTGTCCAGGCTGGTCTCAAACTCCTAGGCTCAAGTGATTCTCCCACCTCAGCCTCTCAAAGTGCTAGGATTACAAGTGTGAGCTACTGTGCCCAGCCAGAAATTCCTCATTCTTAGGGACACAAAGTACTAGCTGAAAAAAAGATAGCATTACTGAGTCAAATGAATGAGGGCAGACTGGCCCAGGACTTTTACTCTGAGGAGACTCTTACCTCTGCTGGGCACCTTATTTCTACTGAATGCAGCAGTCGGCTGATGTCCGTAGGGATGTATCCCCAATTCCTGGGCATGACTCACAGTTCCCAGCAAAGATTCAGGGTCCCCAGGTCCACTGGTACTCAAGAGCAGGGGACTGTCATGGCAACCTTTGGTCAACGTGTTTGCACTCTTATTGTCTGGGAAGCCATCCTTGGCCCCCTCACACGAGCAGTCCTCTTCCATGCTCTCTGAGTGCATCAGTGCCGGCTGATGGGCATACCCGTGGGTCTGAGTGGGTGAGGAAACCTGTGCGATACATTCTTGCGCCCTGATCTGTAGCAGATGCTGGGGGCTGGTGTGATGGTGGTGATAGGAGTCAGCACTCTGATAAGATAAAGGCTGGCGCTCTGCCATACTCTGTCCCCCAAGGCTGGGAGCCAGGCTCCCAGCATCCCCCTGGTTCATGTGCCTGAACAATTCTTGGAACTCTTGTTGCTGCTGCTGCTGCTGCTGCTGCTGCTGCTGCTGTTGTTGCTGTTGCTGCTGCTGCTGCCGCTGCTGCTGCCTTTTAATGAGCTGTGCAAACTCTGCAGGAGGCAGCCGGATGTCCGAGTGGCCAGTGAGCGAATGCCGGGGAGAGAGCAGTCCTTGGAGGATGTGGGGTACCTGCTGGTGTCTCGTGTAGTCTGGCGGTGTGGGGGACAGCAGGGCCTGCTGTAGTGCCGATGTGGTATAGTGTGGCGGCTGCTGATGCGCACTGGGAGGGAAGGCGGGGAATTGGTCAAGTGGAGGGACTTTCAGGGCTTGGGCTGGAGGGAACCCCACTCCTGCTGAAGGGCTGTAGCTGCTGGGGGAACCCCGGGACTGGTCCGAAAACAGATGGGGGTGTAAATGCGCCTGGTCGTAGTTAGCAGGGGAGAACCGATTCACGTTCAAGCTGCAGACACAAAAGGGGGTGAGTACCAGGCATCAATGTAACAGGTGTGCTAGACTCCCTGGGGAACGGCTACTACTCTTCCTCAGTAGGGAGCACCCACTGGTCCAGAGAACCACAGGAGAGGAGGATGTGTGCACCATCCCCACTGATCCCCTTGTCTGCTTCTCCAGTAACTTCCAAGAGACTGAAGGCACTGTGTGCATAACAGATCTAGCAGCAACTTGGCCTAGCTTAAAACAACACTTGAGCTACAAGAGGCACCAACTTCTTAGAAAAATGATAGAGAGGCAAAGACTCCTAAAAGAATAGACAAAGGGAACTGGCATTTTTACAGACTCCTCTAACACGCTGTTTTCTTCTTTGAAAGCAAATAGTAAAACAGCTTTGCCATTTTCCTCCTCTGTCTCATTATAATTTTAATCCTGGGTTAATAAAAAGTTACAAGTTCATCCCAAACTCACCACCCTGATTTTAGAAAGGGCAAAACAAGGGCTCAGCTGAGTCAGACCATTCTCCTTCCTTTCTTCTCTGTCCCCTGCTAAGGAGCTTCCTCCCACTTGGATCACCTGGATAGAAGGTTGGTGACATGACTTCAGACAGCCTTACCTGTGGGCCTCTGCACTGTCAGCACTCAGCTGCTTGGACAAGGGTCGGTGCCCATAGCCGAAGGTGGCCATCAGGTTGGTACGATGCTGCATCTGAATCTGACTGGTACTGGGGCTGATGGAAATACCCCTCCCAGTGGAGCCTGCAGTTGTCCCTGGCATGTTGCTGAGCATGTCAACTGGCTCTTGTACTTGGATGGTCACTTGCTGTGACTGGGTAGGTTGCTGCATGCCCATGCAAGTTAGTGCCACATTGGGAGGAGGGGAACAGTTCTCAGATTGCTGTTGGAAGATTGCACTGCGGGAGGGTAAGCCTTGAAACTGGGAGGGAGAAGCAGCACCTGGAGAGAAAGGAAACTCAGAGTGACCAAGGGCCCAGGCCACCTATCAGATGGAAGTAATGGAAACCAGTGAGGATACTAAAACCAGATGCCAGCTAGGGCAGCGCTTCTCAAACTTCAGTGTGCAAAGACAAGTCTGGAGAACTTGTTATAACAACAGAGTCCTAGGCCCTACCCACAGAATTCTTATTCAGTAGGTCAGGGTGGGTTCCCAAGAATTTGTATTTCCAATAAGTTCCTCTGAAAGCTTGTCTATACATTATTCTTTGGGTAGTGCTTCTCAAATAAATGGCCTGGAGGTCTACTTAAAATCGAGATTCCAATGTAGCAGGTCTGGGATGGGACCTGAGATTCTAGTCTTCTTGCCAATGCTCATGGTTGGGTGACCCCACTTTGAGTAGGAAGAGCCAATCAGACTCTTCTCAAGGATGCCTAGAGAGACTAATAAGGGATCTAGTTTGGTGGTGTTACTTAAGAGACTCTCAGAGTGCTGACTTCTGAGGACTCAAACCAGTCACAGTATACTCATCCTCCCTCCATCCACACAACCACAAGAGGGGCCCATGTGCATGGTAGACAGCCAGATGGAGGCATCAAGACAAGGATGGTTCTTGCAGCAGATTTTTACTTGGTAGGGCTGGAGGGGTTTACTAAAAATATTAATAATAACTGTCCTTTATTAAGAACTGCTTTGTGCCAGAGCCTGTTCCAAGTGCTTTCCGTGTTCATTCATTAAATTCTGTACCATTATTCTCCTCATTTTACAGTTGAGGAAACTGAGATACACAGGAGCCAAGTAACTTACCCAAGGGTTTCACAGCTAAGAAATTGGTAGAACCAGGATTCAACCCTAGGCAGCCTAGCTCGAGAGTCTACACCCCTGAATGCCATGTTATTCTGCCTCTCAGATGATTCCTGGTGCTCAGGACTGAGACGGTCATGTTTTCCATGTGGCACATAATGGATGGTTCGGTCTGAAGCTCTCCACTCACCGTGAGACTGGATCATGGCACTGTTCATGGGGGGAGGGCTGTTACTGGGCTGCCTGAAGAGATGGTTGCTGGGGTGGTTGGGGGGTGGGCTTGAAGGCTGAATCCTTAACCTTGAAAATAACAAAACAGATAAATAAAGAAACTTCCCTGAGGTGACAGTACAATCTGGAGTTAAGTTTCAGCCACACAGTACGCACAAATAGAAATAATTTAAAAATTTTTAATAAGTCCAATATGATTCTATACCTTGAAAACCCTAGGGAGCCTCAAAAGCCTCCTGGCACTGATAAATGACTTTGGTAAAGCATCAGTTTACAAAATCAACATGCAAAAGACAGGTGCATTCTTATACATCAGCAATAAGCAGGTGGAGAACCAAATAAAAAGCACAATCCCATTCACAACAGCCACAAAAAAATTGAAATACCTTGGCATCCACCTAGCCAGAGAAGTAAAAGACCTTTACAATGAGAACTACAAAATGCTGCTCAAAGAAATCAAGGATGACAAAAATAAATGGAAAAACATCCCATGCTCATGGATCAGAAGAAGAATCAATATTGTCAAGATGTCTATCCTACCAAAGGCAACCTACAGATTCAATGCAATACCCTCAAATCAGCAACATCATTTTTCACAGACCTGGGAACAACAATATAGAAATTCACATGGCAACAAAAAAGAGCACATATAGCCAAAACAATCCTTAGCAAAAGAAACAAAGTGGGAGGTATCACACTTCCAGACTTTACATTTTATTACAAAGCTATAGTAACCAAAACAGCATAGTATTGGTACATAGACCAATGGGACAGGAAAGAGATTCTGGAAGTAAAAACGGTCTCTCAACCAACTCATTTTTAACAAAACCTCCAATAACAATCACTGGGGAAAGGAGACTATATTTAGGAAATGGTGCTGGGAAAACTGGCTGACCACATGCAGAAGAATGAAACTGGACCCCTACTTATTACCACATATGAAAATCAACTCAAAATGGATCAAAGATCTAAATATAAAGCCTCAAACTATAAGAATCCTAGAAAAAAAGTAGGAAGCACCCTTATGACATTAGAGTCGGCAACAAATTCTTGACCAAGTCTCCAAAGTGCATGCCATAAAAGCTAAGATAGATAAGTAGGACATCATCAAACTGAAAAGCTTTTGCACAGCAAAAAATTAAAAAAATTAAAAAACTAAGAGAGTAAAGAGACAACCCACAGAATGAGAAAAATATATTTGGAAATTATGCATTTGACAAATGCCTAACATCCAGAATCTACAAGGAACTTAAAATTAAAGGAAAAAAAAAAAAAACCCGATTAAAAAATGGGCAAAGGGCATGAACAGATACTTCTCAAAATATGACATGCAAGCAGCCAACAGACACATGAAGAAATGCTCAGCCTCACTAATCATCAGAGAAATGCAAATCGAAACTACATGAGATAACCACCTAACTCTGGTAAGGATGGCTATCATTCATAAGTCAAAGAAGAGATGCTGGTGTGGGTGTGAGAAAAGGGAACGCTTCTACACTGTTGGTGGGAATGCAAGCTAGTTCAACCTCTATGGAAAACAATGTGGCAATTCCTAAAAGAACTAAAAATTAATCTTCCATATGATCCAGCAATCCCTCTCCTGGGAATATACCCAGAGAAACATAAATAGCTTCTACAAAAAGAACCTGCACGGGCATGTTTATCGCCACACTATTCACAATAGCAAAAACATGGAACCAACCCTGCTGCCCACTGAAAGTGGACTGGATAAAGAAAATGTGGTATATATACACGATGGAGTATTATGCAGTCATAAAGAAGAACAAAATCGTGGACTTCGCAGCACATTGGATGGAGTTGAAGACCATCATACTAAGTGAATTATCACAGAAATAAAGAACTGAATACCTCGTGTTCTCACTCATGAGTAGCCCCTGAACACTAGTTACATTAGCACAAGGGAGGGATCAGCAATCACTGGGTACTACTAGGGGAGGGAGGGAGGAAGGAAGGAGAATGGGGGCACATAACAACACAAAGGGTACCTGGTCCATGACCAGGGGGACTGAGGGCCAGTTAGAAGGCCACACTTCACCTTCATGCAGCCTACTTGTGTAGCTAATCCTGACTTGTACCCACATCTCTACAATAACATAAATAATGATTTTAAAAAGTTTCAATAAGGCTCCATGATAAAAATATATATGTATGTATATATATTCTATATAGATGTATAGAGATATAGATGCCATCTACCACAGTCTATTTAAACCTATCCACAACATGTCTGACCAGCCTTCCCATTCACAGAGGCAGAGTTCACTATGAGCCTGTGTCTGACCCTCTTATTCGATATCAGATTACTTTGCTCATGGGGCTAAGAAAATGAAGTGACAAAGGAAGTCAGGATTTCAGGAAGGCTCCTGAAATTTAAATTGGTTTCTCTGCTTTTCAAACAGATTCTTCTAAGACAAATGCTGAAGTCAGTCAATATCTTCCACATGAGCTCGGCCAAGGTCATAATACTATAGAGACAATGGGTTAGGCTTAATGCAGAAATGATTACCTCTGGAGCTGGTGTGTAAGGAGGGCTGGCTGATTTTCACCTGCAGCCTGAAGAGGTGGAGAAGGCTGAGGAGGACAGATAGAGTCCTAAAACATACACGAAGGAAAGGAAAAAAGAAATCATTGTGAGCTTGAAGATTACTCAGAGCTATTTTCAGGAAGGGAAAATCAGAAAGAACTATCTGTGTCTCATATTTATGTTTTTGTTGTTCACCAAAAGGTCTGATCACATAAACGTGTCAACCATAAACATAACTCCACTTAGCTGAGCGACTGCCTCAGCCTGAAAGCAAACTCCAAACGAGTTGGAGAAAGCAGAGTGAAGGCCTACTTGAATCTGCTGCTGAAGAATTTGATGGTGCTGCTCCTGCTGGTATAACATATGCTGCTGCTGGGTCTTCTCCAGGGTTCTTTCATCAATCTGCCCCCCGTACATCTTCTGCAGCTGCTCACACTCCTGAAGGGAAAGCAGTTGATACAGACGGGATGCAGTCAGGCTCACCCCATGCAGTGCTCTCAGCAGATGCAGATCTGCCCCAAGGTCTTATGGGCAGAAAGAGCCACAAGAGAAGAATGTCCTTGATGAGTAATTAACCCTTCTATCATGATACCTGCATACTAAGTATATTCTCACTGTCCTCTGTATGACTGGAAAATGCCAGGATGGCCTGGACGTATCTGGTGTGAAATCTGTGGACAAAGCACATGCTGCTTGAAGCTCCATCATCAGAAGGGTGGAAAGGAAACTGGCTCTTTACACAGGCCCAGAGGTACATCTCCTTCCTCTGGGAGTGCTATTCCATACCAACTGGAGAATATGCCAGGTGGCAACAACGTGGAACAGGCTCCAACAAGACACAGCCCCTTAAATCATGAGAGGAGTGCCAGGTTGCTTAGAAGTACCTTCCCTGATGCTTCCTACAGAAACTCAAGCCCAGAAATGCCTTTCCAATGAACTACAGAAACAGGAGAAAAATTTAGTCCCTTCAAGGGGGAAGTAAGTTTGATCCTAGGGAGAGTCACACTTCATAAGAAGTAAGGAAAGAGTGTCAGAAAACTATGTTTTGTTTTGTTTTTTTTGAGTTGGAATCTCACTCTGTCATCCAGACTGGAGTGTCATGGCCGCTTCCGGCCCCCGCAGCCTTGACCTGCTGAACTCCGACGATCCTTCCACCTCAGCCTTCCAAGTAGCTGGAACTACAGGTGTACCACACCCGGCTAATTTTTTTTGGATTTATTGTAGAGATAAGGTCTCGCCAAGTTGCCCAGGTGGGTCTCGAACCCGCGGGCTCAGGCAATCCACTCACCTCGGCCTCCCAAAGTGCTGGGATTACAGGCTGAGCCACCGAGCCCGGCCAGCTATGCTTTTTTAAACCAATAAAACTGCAGTGTTGCTGACATGAAGCAGGAAGAACTTTGATGACCCCAGCCCTCCTGCAGTCCTGGCCTCTGTCACCCATGCTTCTCCAGAGATGCCTATCATTTCTCCCATTACCTGCTGCAACTGTTTGATGCTGCTGTTGTTGCCCATTTTTTCCAGGTGAGCTTTGAAGGCCTGGATGCTTGTAGCCCCATCTGAGAACCGGCGCACAGGGGAGAAACGCTCCGTAGGGAGGTGCAGGGTGTTGGAATCCTTGTAGGTAGAGCTGAATATACGGGAAGAGAAGGTTAGGGGCTAAGACTCAGGAAATCTGACCAAATCACATAGGGGCTGCTGTTCCAGATGGACACAAAGATGCAGGCTGCACATGTAGCCCTGTGTATTATACCACTTCCATGCCATCTGCAGGAGCTGGTCATTTCCCTAGCCTGCTTCCCTTTAAAGGGCTTCAGGTGCGTATCTTCCATCTCTACTTACCTTCAGTTGGTTTATTTTCCAAGCCTTGGGAGGTCCTGAGATCAAGTACATCAAGTATTCTTATAAAGATACCAAGCCAGGGGGGTGGGAGTGGAGGTGGGAGGGATGGTGGGGGGTGAGGGGAAAAGATACCAAGCCAGAGAGAAAAGCTTCGCAATATTCCCCAGGCCAGGCTGCATAGGAACCTTTGCTTTTATAATCGTGTCTCTACCCAGTGCCTTTAGAAACCTAAGATTCACTGTTGGACCCAAAGTTCTCCCTGAGCAATAATCTCTGCATGATCAGAGGGAAACAGTCAGCTAGTGGTCAAAGGTCTGGCCTGGAACCCATAGGTTCTATGCTAGAAAATGGAGAGTGGAGGATGGGGTGGGGAAAATGAGGACTTATGATCCCGGGATGGAGACAGCACATTCTTAAGGAATGTGGGCCTCAAGATCCTGCACGTACCTGGTCACCACAAAGAAGGTTACCTACCTACTGTGAAAATTAACTTCTCAGAGCAGCAGCACCTGCCCAACCTCCTGATGAAAGAGGCATCATGCGGATTACCTTCAAAGACCCCAATCAGAACACAGCCAGTATCTTACAGAAAGAAAGAACAAGCTATGGATAAGCAATGCCTAAGACAGCATCAGGATTAGAAGCTAACACCTAGACTTGTGACCTAATCAGAAAGAGATGTTTATGGGTTGAGGTAAGCAGATAAAAGACTGCCAAGGCAGCATTCCAGCAGCTGATGGGAAGGATCAGGGTCTCACGTCCAGGGCATTGATGATATTACACTGACCTCTGGGCGAAATGATGTACCACCTTTGCTAGTGATTCAATATGGAGTGAAGCAGAACCATAGCTAAGGAGCAGGTTAGCAAGCAAGTTCAAATACAATGCAGACAGGGACGGACTAGGAGGAATCTGATGACTATGCAGAGGTGTCAAGAAAGTTCTGGTAGCAGGTGAAAAGGCCTTTGCCCTCTCTTTGCTAATGATGACTTCTGTTTCAGGCTCTACCTGAGGCTTGACACAGTAGTGAGCTAATGAAATCAGCACAGACACGTGTTTGCTCAGTAACACACAAGACAAATGAACTGGGGAGACACAATCCAGGAACGGTGATCATGAAAGCTGCATTCAGAGCATTTCCCCAAAACGTCGCCTTTCTGGTTCTACTTCAGGTTTTTTGAGTTAAAGCAAGTACTATTTTCTCCTCAAATTTGACTCCTACGCTTTCAATGTTTTCTGATAATGGACACATTTCTGATTCACTCAGAAAGCTGTGCTCTTCAAGCAGTCAGAACAGTCTTTCTGCACAAAATCCATTCTCCCATCAGAGTAATAATCCCACATTCAGGTATTCCATGACTTTTTCAGAAGCTCCGGTTGTGAGTAGATCGCTACTCACGTCAGTCCAGCACAGTAATTTCAGAGGAACAGTTCTGATGTAGTCTCATGTTGGAAGCGCTGATAACATCAACTGGGCTTGATTTCATTTTTATTTACAATCATGTTCAAACTCAGGACAGCCTCAAGTTTGGCTGATATTTCCACACTATACTTCTCAAATAGGGACTCGGTTTCCTATCTGGATACAATCCATCGTGGTAGTTTTGAGTTACACTTCACTTTAAAAACATTTTAAATTTTGAATTGCATACTTCCAGGAACAAAAGATCAGACCCTTTTTCTATCTCCATGTTGGACTTCATCTCTTACACCCCAGAAGACTGGATATATATGCAGTTCTTCAATCACTGCCTCCAGAAAATGAAATTAATCCAAGAAGCTATTAGGGGACCCATTTTCAGTGTTTTATGGCCTTGGAAAGTTTCTCTTTTTTTCCTGAAGACTGGCTTTAATATCTTATTTGCATATTAGTATAGTGACCCAAACAAAGCATGCTGCGTTTGCAGAAAGGCCCCACCTTCACAATCTGCCACACACACAGCATTCATTTTCTTCCAATTCAAACTGGTGTGGCTACAGGAAACCCTCAAAATACTCTACAAAGAGTGTTCACATGAACACAGACATCAAACAGATTTCCAGCAGGCAAGGCCTTGACAAAAGATTGTAGAGAGGGTAGGTATCATACAGACAGAGCTGTGGGCCAATGTGGTCTTTCTTGAGTAACAAATATCAGTAGGAGACAGGGTCTGTGATAAAGACTGACTCTGGAAATGTGCGGATCCTCGTGTTTCCCTGATAAGAATATCTCCTGAGGAACACCTAGAATTAAACAAGGACACCCAAAGGACTTGAGTTAAACAATAGACTCTGACAAGAGCTAAAAATTAGGTGTCATGCTGTGTAGGAAAGGAAGATGGGGACAAGGAGGAAGGAAGTAATAAAGGGTCTCTTAGGTACAAGTGTAGAGCTCAGAGTTATGAGAAATCACAGGAAATGTACAGAGGAGGAGAAGGAGTTCTCCAATAGTCACTCAAAGTACTCTTTGATACACACTAATAACATAGGACCTGAGAGATTTTCATTAGAAAAAAGAATGTCTTTCTGTGTCATCAGAGTTTTATTTGAGAACTGTCATTCTTGCTACTCTTTACAGACCATTTTTACGTAGTTATTCACAGTCATTTATAAAAGCTTATCTTCCTTTCAGAGTTCCAACGTGGCACTAATCATGTCTCGGTCTGCTCAGAGTTCACCTGTCTCTGCTGACTATGTTGATACCAAGTGTAACTAGCCACAATAAAAAACTGTATCAGGCTTGCCAGTGTGAGCTGGTTGCAAGATTTCATAACAACACACATATAAACCTGATTTCCTTGGAATTTGACTGCTTTTTCCACCTTCCCAAGTAAGATTGCTTTTCACTGTCCTCCAAAGAAAGACAGAACTAAAATAAGCTCCAGTAACGAGGTGGCTTTGAAAGTGTGGTCCATGAGCTTGGGGACAGCTTCAGAGTGGACCTGACTAAGATTTTTAGTCATCAGGTATTCCCAGAAGATAATCTTCTTAATCTAGCAAGTGTCATTCTCTCCCTGCTTCCAGGCTTACTTGGATTCAATGATGTTTTCATGGCCAGGAAGGTGAAACTTGTTTTTATTTCTTCAAGAGAATAACTTATACATGTAACAGAACCTAGCACAAGATTTCAAAGAATGACTTCTCAAGCACATCACTCAAGAGGATGCAGCATCTCTGCTCTACCATTCACAAGGGGCTTTGTCTTCCTCCATATTCAAGCTCGTTGTTCAATGGTAAGATGATATGAAATGCTCATTCTTTTGAAGGTGATGGATTACTAAAGGTCAAGTCTATTGATATGGCTACAAATTCTCCTACTTCCGGTTGGCCCTCTGAGAGTTTCACTTCCTTGCAGGTCTCAAGTTCAATTTTATCTATGAATCACCATCCAGAATCACGGGAATCAAATGCAGACAATAAACAGGTCTGCAAAGTCATGGAAAGAGGAATCTCGTACTGCTCCAGGGCCCAGTAGAAAACCTTGCCCTGTGCGTTGCTTAGTGCAAGGAGCTGAGAAGAAGTGAGTTCAGGATGACAGTTGGCTTCTATTTAAAGTCATGATGCTAGTCACCATCACTGTGAGACTAGTCAGAAGGGTGCCTGTCCGATGAGCCTCACGGAGCTCCCACAGCTCTTGTGGCTACTCACCGATGCTGATCAGGTACCAGGTGAGGAGGCCAGACCCGGGAACGGAAAGGCTGCTGTCCTAGCTGCCGTTGTAGGTCCGGTGGGATCTCAGCTGTAGGGTTGGTCATAGCCAGTGTATGTCTTTTGGACCTATTTGCCAAGTACCTGCAACAAGCAGGAGCACATTTCATAGTAAAAAAGACAGACAGGAATATTCCTCCGCAAGAAGCATTAGAAGTTAATCCATAGCAGTCAATGAGATAGTGCCAGAGCTCAAGAAGGGCTCGGTGGCAAACAGATCCCTGACTGGATGGAAGTGAAACACATCTAACTGGCCAAGAAAAGCTGGCTTAATGTTGAAGTGGCTGAATGTTAAGCCTCAGAGTAGCCTTTGAAGAGAAGAGAGAAAACAGATCTAGTTCACAAAGATAAGAGGATCGATTTTCTTTACTTCATTAACATTCAACAGAAGAATTTATTTTCCACACATTAATTTATTCCTCTCTTCCCTCTGCATTTCCAAAGCATAAGTCAGAGGAAATGAGCCCAAAGGACCATTCCTAGAGATGAACTTAGGGAGATATTCAAAAGGACTCTGCATAGGTCTCTTGATACTACAGGCCCCAGCTTTGAAGCTGTCCTTACTACAGGTCATACAAAACACATCCTTTCATTTGGGGATGAGTTCCAAAACCGCCCCTTCCCTCAGGCCCAGTGACTATAACTCAAACAACAGAGAAGAAAAACTGATGCTGTCCCTAGTGAATCAACATTCCATAGAGGATGAAGAAAAACACCACATGAAATGTTTAAAATTGTTTTAGAGGACAAAAAGGCAAGGCAAGAAAAACAGAAGTCTCAAAAGCTGAAGAGTTCAAGCCAATGGCTTTTATTCTGAAGACCTTTCAGACCCACCACTTATTTAACGGAACAGGCCCTCTTTGCCTGGTGGATGACTTCCTCCACCACTGCTGCTCTTGTGGGCCTTGAATAAAAGAGGCACTGTTCCTTTTCATTACATCAAAACTGATGGGCATTATACCCTTGAAATGTTGGTCTGAAGAAGAAAGAAGGTGGAGCTGCAGGAAGTAAAGTCCAAGACAAAGAAGATAAAATAAAAGACCGCTGTCTCTTTTAAGGTAGGAAGACAGTACATTCCTGATTTCTCATTTCTTCATTACCCAGTAGGGCCCATTTGTAACCTTATATACCCTGTTATCAGCAAACCGCAGAAACAACAGCATCAAGAGAAGAAAAGTTACCCCACTTCTCCTTCTCTTGGCTGAGTTGTAGGAGGAGCCAGCCCACGTGCCAACACTCCTGTTTGCCATGCTTTCCTTTCCACATAGGACCAGCTTATTTTTGAATAGCAGCTCTCAGACATGGCGACTGGGGGAAAGATGAGAGTACTGGCCAGTAACCATCAGGGTTCTAATAAATGGTCTGTTTCATTCTTAACTACCTTGCCCCTTTAAGCTAAAATCAGTTAACAGACTGAAACTAGCGGTATGTAAACTTTCCAAAGAGTAAGCCATTCGTGGTTTAATATCACCATTTGATAAAGACACCCAAAGTTTTCCCAAAAGCCCATGAAAACCATTTTATTTCAACTTCCCTCAAAAGAAAAACATATCATCTTGAACCCGTTTTTCTGGGAAAATACATGCTGGATTCTGGTGAAACCCCCTCCCTGGAAAATAAGAAATTTGACAACTCCCACAGTGGGCATGCATGAAACTGAGGACAGGGCTAATAGAACTGAGGCCAAATGAACAGTACAGCATGCCTGATGGTCACTGCCGTTCTCTGTGAATTAGGCATCTCTCAACAAGGTTCTACAAACAATGGATATTTGCATCTGTCCCTGGCCCAAATCCCGTATTCTTTTTTTTTCCAATATCTCTTTGTTGGTACAGGGGGGTGGAAGAAGCGTACAGCCAACAGTACAAGAGGTATTCAGGTATTCATTCTCCTGGAAAGGAAGAGTCCATGCCAGAGGTCCATGCCAGACTAGCTAGGATCACTGTCATCCCAAATCTCCAATTCCTTTTCAGTAAACAGTTCTTGGCAGGTAGGAGCAGGCTTTGTGCCTTGTGAATACTATCAGAGTTGCAATATGAAGGCAGGGGCAAGGAAAGAAGGAGGGAGGAAAGGAAGAGTTCTTATGGTTACTGCTGTCACTGAGGGGACTTCCAATGGTGCTTACAGAAATGACATTTTCTGGATAGTCTTCTGTTACTTCCATGTGGGGAGGAACATGCCATCTGGCTTGAGCAAAGAGACCACACAAATGTTGAAGCTGCATTGTAACACCTCCTTGGGCAGAGGTGACCTTTCGCTGGTTGCAGGGGGAGCCTGCCCAAGGACGTCTGCAAGCACTGCCAGATGTCACATTACCTCTGCACAGCTTCCTGATCTGGCTCCCCATCCGAGCTCTCCTCGTCCACAGGGGTAACTGCTGGCACTGCCTGAAGAGAGACAGGAAGGAAAAGCTCAAGGTGGCAGCTTATTCGATAATGTCTCTTATTCTAGTAACTGGGCTTGGGCAGAGCTTTTAATGAACTTTCTTGTTCACAAAACTTTTCTAAGAGCTCTGAGTTATACAGAATTTTTATATACCTACTTTTTTGTTTTCACCTCGTTAGGTGATACTAATTGGGATTTCTTCCTCTTATTCATCCTCATTCATTCATTTATTCATTAAACAAATAGCTGAATGCTTACTATGTTACAAGATAAAACGTGTTTACAGATACAAATCTGCCTTCATTTTGCAGTCTAGTGGAGGACAGAGACAAGTAAACAGACAAGTACAAAAGAGCATAACCAGTTCCTCTAATGGGAATGAAGGAAGGCATTCTAGAGGAGGTAACACCCAACCTGGGACCTGAAGGCAAAGAGGAAAAGAAGTCACAGTAGAAGTTTCAGGGCTGAGAGAAAAGAGTGTCTGAGGACCAGAAAGTATAGTAGAAGACTATTTACCTGGAATGTCTAGGGACTGACCTGTTGCTTCCGGAGTTTAAATGTCTTAACTCCAGGAAAGCATAATGAATTTCTGAAAGTACATTTTAGTACATAACACAGAATTATGTAGTTGCAATTCAATGCTTTAAAATAGCTGTTGCCCACCAAAACATGTAAGTGGAACGAGAGCCATCAGAATGCATGCATCACAGTGACTGTCCCCATCTGCATGAGGACTGGAATGTCGTGCATCCTTGTTAGCTACTCATGGCCTGGTGGATACCTCAGGCACTAGAACAAAAATCATGCCTTGATTATTACAAAACAGCATTTTAAAAAATGGATAATTACAAAATAAAACCTTGTGGAATGATTCCATTGTCTGAATGCTTCCAAGGTTTCCAGATCCTTTACTACAGCTCCACAAGGGTGGAGTGAACAGGGCTAGGCAGGAAGTGGCTGTAGATGAGGCGAGAGAGGAACACGGTGGCCAGTTATAAATGGCATTGAATACCACACTAAGAAGTTTATTTTGAGAAAGAACAGTGGTGAATCACTAAAGACTTTTAAGCAGGGGCATGTCATAAGCTTTATGTCTGAGAAAGCTAGCTCACTTTGGCTGTAGTGTGAAAAGGGCTGGTGGCAGGGATTAGGAGACAAGACCTGGAAACTCCTTGTCTTGTCAGGAGGCCATTGTGTGAATCTAGGCAATGGATGATAGTGACCTAAGTCAAGGAAAGAGCAGTGGAGATGGAGCGAAGTAAGATATGTAATTCATAGGCATTAGATAACTGATTTTATACAGGGAATGGGGCAGAGGGAAGTTAAAGATAAAATCCACATTCCTAGTTTGTGTAACCAGGAGTAGGACACTGACATTCACTGTCACCTCGGGGGAGGAACGGATTTCACAAAGTCATGGTAAGTGCATTTTGGGACATGCTGAATTAAAAGTGTGAGTACTTGTGGAATAACCAACTAAATCCATCCAGCAGGCAGTCATGTATGCAGAAATGTAGAACTCAGAAGAACATTCTGGGCTGGAGAATCAGCTGTTAACTGAAATTATGAGAGTGGACACACTTACCCAGAGAGAGAATATAAAATGAGATGGGAACAGGGCCCTAGATAAAACTCTGAGTTTTGTCAACTTCAAGGAGCAAGCAGAAAGAAAATCTGAAAAGGAGAGGCAGAGGGAAAACAAAGAGAATGTGGTGCCACAGAAGCCAAGAAAAGAAACTGTCAAGGAAAAAAATGGTCAACACTGACTAATGCAGCTGAAACGTCCAAAAAAGATAAAGATTAAAAATGTCCACGAATTTATCAACAAGAACTTGTTAGTGACCTTGGCAGAAACAGTTACAGTGAACAGAGTAAGTCATTCCACTTATCATGGGGGTAATAAGTGGTCATGATCATAAAGCTGTTCATGGTCCTTCAAACTTATACTGACCTTGCCAGCCCTGAATGCCTCTGTTACCTACTAGCCCATGTTATTCCCTCTGACACTTAATCACATATTCTCTTTTACTATTATTCAAATACATCACATATGGTGATCTTGTCAGTGATGCCAAGAGCATGATATATAATTCTTTTGTTACTGAAAGTGTAGTCCATGGACCCATGCCAGTCTACAAACTGTTTTGTTACTAACTTATGATGAGGTAAGTATAAAAATCAACAGTAAGCCTTTAGAAACTTTTATAGAAATTTAGGAGTAATTTTGTCTGTTGAATTAAATAAAAAATTTAGCCCTGTACGTTGTATGTTTTTCAATTTTCATTTTTCTTTTCTTTTGTCTTTTTTTTTTGAGTTGGAGTCTCACTCTGTCGCCCAGACTGGAGTGCAGTGGCCGCTCCCGGCCACCGCAGCCTCAACCTGCTGAGCTCCGGCAATCCTTCCGCCTCAGCCTTCCGAGTAGCCGGAATTACAGGCATGCACTACCACGCCTGGCTGATTTTTTGATTTATTGTAGAGATGAGGTCTCGCTGCC